GCCCCCCACCCCTTGCTGGTGCCCTTCACTCCCAACCTGCAGCCCCCTCACTCTGCCAGTGTCCTGCACCCCCAACCCACAGTCACGCCCCCACCATGCCCCTCACTCCTGATCTGCAGCTCCTTGCCCCTCTGCTGGTGCCCCTCACTCCCGACCCACAGCCCTTTCCCCTGTGCCAGCCCTGCTGGTGCCCTGTACTCCCAACCCACAGACCCCTGCCCCCTCCTCCAGCCCTGCTGCTCTCTCTTGCTCTCTCTCTTTTGCTGGCTTACTTGAGCCCATGTGAGGAGCATGTGACCCCCAACAACCAGTCACCTTGCCTGCTGCTCCCATCCTGAAGCAGCCAGTTTGGGACAGCAGAAAACCTGGACGTTTGCTCTTTTTTCAAAAACCTGCCTGGACACAGCACAGGGGTCCAAAAAAGAGGACATGTCCGGGAAAACCTGGATGTATGGTAACCCTAACTGCAGGATGATCACTGTGAACTCTCAAGTCCTTGAAGCTTCACATCTAGGTGTGTCCACTCATTTTCTGTTGTTGGTCTTGGGAAGAGCAGAACTACCTACATAACCAATAACATGCTCATAACACTTATAGTTCCACAGTTATGATTTTATAAGAATCATGATCTTATGCTTCAAAGCTTCAGATACATATAGGAGGGAACTCCCCTTCTCCCTCCAGGTCTAGATGTATCTTTAGAAGTTTGTTGTCATTTGAGGTGAAACATTGTATGGGATATATAGGTATTCTCAGGTAGTACAGGGAGGCCTCTGTCCTGTATGCCTGGCTAGTGTATTAAGGTCATTACTAGGTTTTCCCTCAGGTGAGACTTGCAGGGACTTTGGCATTTTTGCACTTGGGGGCACAGTTGCCTAACTGGATCTCTTCCCTAATCAATTCCCTGCCATTTTTGAGTCCTCTAGCATTTGTAGTACCTTTGTCATTGACAACTGAACAGTCTCCCATCCTGTAAGTATAACTTGTATTTTTCATTCTCACGTGCATTGTCTTCAGTTTGGCTATATTGAGACACATTTTGTTTGATTCTATTGAACCGAATGATTCAGGTCCCTCTGTAACTTGCCTTCACCATCTGATATCACTCAGTTTTTATGACAACTGCAAATGTCATCAATGTTGATAGATGGTTGATAAAATTAAATTAAGTAGCTCTGGAACAGGACAACCTCTGGGGAGCCACACACAGAAGTAATCCCATTTTATTGATATCTGCCCATTAATGGCTATATTTAGTGTTGTACATTTCCACTTTTTCTGCATCATTCTTTAGTTTCACCATCTGCATCTAGCAGTGGACCTATGCGGGACTTACCAGTTTCATTGTCCCTCACATCATAGAATCATAGAGAAGTAGGGCTGGAAGTAACCTCCAGAGGTCAACTCCTTACCTGAGGCAGGATCATCCTATCCAAACCGCCCTATACAAATCCACAATTTAAAATTTTTGTAAAACAACCATCAATCCTGCCAAAACACAAGGCATTAACACCCTAACCTGCAATAGATAAAGCAGGGGAACCACAGCAGCCAATGTCCTGTTTCTGCCAAAGGTTGCTAACACATGTAAAAGGTTGCTAATATTGGTGCAGTATGTACCATCTGACTATGGGGTAAAATTCCTTCCTGACCCCAGATATGGCGATTGCCTGAGCAGAGAGGCAAGACCCTCTAGCCAGGAACCTCTGACTTTAAGTACCAGCAGAAGCATTGGCATACCGCAGTCAAAATCCCCAGCCGTGGCTGCAGCCAACACCCAGTGCCTCTGAGAAAGGGTTAAAACCACATGTAACAGAAAGGGATGAGGGAACAACCAGCAAACCCCAGAAGCATGGGAGACACCCATAGTAGACCATAGGCATAAATAGCTATGCCTAGATCAGGGGTAGGCAACACTTTTTGATTGGAGTGCCAAAAACCCCCACAGTGCCTACCTTGGAAGGTGCCTGAGTGCCAGCATGCCAGAAAAACAAAATGAAGGCAGGAGGTACATGGCAGGATGTCTCTTCAGTACATGGCATGTGCCCCTTGCCCCCCAGCCCCACTTGCCCCGCCCCCCCCCCGGCCAGGCTCCGTTGCTGGTAACAGC